GGCCGCGCGGCTTCCCCTGAGCGCGGGAGGCCGGTCGCGACGCCGGCCAGCCAGTCTGCTCACCGGCCGGACGGGGGAGGCCAAGGTCGTCGGCCTGGGTGGGCGGCGCGCGCCTGGGCAGGGGCGCGGACCAGCCTGGGACCCGGGGGGGGGGGGCCTGACAGGCGACCGGGGGGGGGGGCTGCGCGCGCCGGGGACCTTCCCGCGGGGGGGGCCCGGTGGATTTCCCCCCGCCCGGCCCCCCCCCCCCCCCCCACCCCCGGTCGCCAGATCGGCGGATGCACCAAGGGGGTGTCCGGGGGAGCCGGAAGGTCGCGATAAATTCCTCCCCCCCTCCCCCCCCCCCCGCCCTCAGCACTGAGGCGCCAGGGACAATGAGACACCGAGCAAGGGCGGCCGCGGACGGAACAGCGAAAGCTGGTGTGGAACGAAGCACGCATGGGGCTCGTGGGGGCCGGAACAGAGTATCACTGGCCTCGGTTGCGGGCGTGTGCCAGTTCTCGGAAAAACGACCGGCCCGTCTCGAGGCCGGTCTTAAGCCGGCTCACCAGGCCCAGCACACCCCTCACCCTCCCCCCCCCCCCCGGCAGGAGCACAGGGGGACCGGGGGCATCTGGCTCCGGGGCTCGTACTCACCGGGCACGGAAATGAGCCATGCAGCCGCGGTGCTTGGGCGTGGGGCGCTGTACCCGCCCCTCCCCCCCTCCCCGTCGCCCCGCACCCCGGAGGACGGCAGGGGCGCGGGGTGCGAGGACAGGTTCCCCGGCAGGTCGTCGTGCGCCCCTGGGTCGGCAAACCACTCTCCCCCTGGGCCCCGCGGCCTGGGGCCCGGCGAACGGGGGTACCACACACGCACACACACACACACACACACACACGGACCCCGGCGCAGACCACGACGGGTGATCGGACCCCCTCTTCCGGGCCCCGGGCCGGGGGCGCGGACGCCAGGGCCAAAGGGGGAGCAAGGCGTGGCCCCGCCTGCCAACCGCGTTCGGCCTGCCATCAGCCGGCCTGCCAGGGCGCCCCCGCGCCGCCGCGGGCAGGAGGGGGGGGGGACATTCACGGCGGCATCCGAGCGCGCGCACACCAATGCATGCGCATACACACCCACACACCCAACCCCGGCGGACTGTCGAGAGTGAGGGGTCCAATATCCCCCAAGGGGCGCCTGCTGGCGCCCCGGGCCGCGAAGGCGACCGGACGCATACAACCGCGCGGGGCCCGGGGGCCGCGCGCACTCGCAAACACTGCGGCCCAGCACACAGGCGCACAGGCGCACAGGCGCACGCACATGCATGCCGGCGTCCTGGCGAACAGGGAAGCCATGAAAACAATGGGACGGGGGGGCCTCCCAAGCGAGCGCAACAATTCGCCCCCCCCCTCCCGCCGCCCCGCGCCGGGTGCAGGGGCGCAGGCGCGAGGGAGGCCGGGGGACAAGATAGCTGGTCCTCGGCCCCCTTGCGCCCCCGGCTGTCCCTCCTGTCGCCCTGTACGCACACGGTGGCCAGCAAACATGCCGCGGGCCTCCACGCGTCCTCTGGAGCCGGTGTTTCAGGGATCCTTGTCGATGTGAAGATCGTTGGCCTCCTGGCGCCCGGGGCGGCCGGGAACGGGAGCGGGGGGGGGGGGCAAGGAGCGGGAACTGCCGGCTTTTAGCATGCGCCGGATGCCGATGGACACGGCCAAGTGGAATGCGCAAAGTAGTAGAATGAGCTCACCAGTTGCCCGGGCCCCGCGGAGGCGCCCTTCGGCTGGGGAACAGGCCAGCGGCATGCGGGGCATGTAAACACCCGGCGTGCGTGTGTGTGTGTGTGTGTGTGTGTGTGTGTGTGTGTGTGTGTGCGCACGCCGGCCAGGGAGACGGGCATCAGCCGCGCCCGGGAGGACACAGCCAGGCGAGGGGGCGTGCGGCGAAAATCCGGGCGAAAATAATAGCCACCACATAAAAAACCCCTCAGAAGGGAGCGAGACGGCTCGGGATGCGAACCCGCGCGGCACCTGGTGTTTGTGCCCGACGACCACGGAGCAACGCCCCAGGCCAATCCGCCCCCCCCCCCCCCCCGGCCGTCTTGCCGGGTATTCCCACGAGCCGCCAAGGGGCCGGCACCCTTCGCCCCCCTCTTCCCCGCTGGTGGGGCAAGAGAGAGGGGCCCGGAGGCCACCCTTAAAGTCGCCGACCACACACGCAGGGGGCGGGGGGGGGGGGGGGCATTGGCTGACGGCCTTGCCCCGCCCCCCCGCGCGTTCGGGCCCCGAGCGCGAGGGCTGGCCCTCTGCCGTGAGCGCGCCCCGTTTGCGTGTGCCGGGGTGTCTGGCGACCGGTTCGCGCGCGCCAGGGAAGAAGGCCCCCGCGCTGCTCCGGCCCGGGAGCCGGAGCGGACCCGGGGGAGGGCGTCTGCCCGCCAGCATTCGTTAAATGTGGCGAACTCCCCTGGCCCGCCTTGGCGGCGGGGGCTGCCGGCAAGCGCCCCCCCCCCCTTCCCGCCGCCCCCCAGCATCCTGTCCCTCACCAGCTGGTGGTCGCCGGCCAACGGGCGGGCCTCGGCCTGGGGAGAAACACCTGGGCCGAGGTTTTGGCCGCCCCGCTGGCGCCTCGTCCGCTCGCCCCCCGAACACAAGACGAGGAGCGGGGGGGGGGGGCCGGAAGGCCGAGGGAAGGGACAACGTCTGACGCCCGTTGTGAGGCAGAGGGGCGCGGTACTACACTCGGCTCGCGTTGCCAGCCTCTGATCGGGGATGCGCGCCCGCTCAGGGGCGAGCTCTCGCCCCGGGGCCACCAGGCCTGGAGTCATCCATTGTCGCCTGTTGACCGGAATCCGGCGAACAGCGGGCGACGGGCTCTCCCCGCCTCGGGCCTCAGGGTGCGAACTCCGACGAGGGCGGCGCCCGGGCGGGACGGGCCGGCCCCGGGCACTGCCGAGAGGCAGTTGTCAAGCCGCCCCCCCGCCCCCCCCCGTCTCCCTCATGTTGATGCAGCACCCCCGCCTGCAGGTGTGCGCGTGCGTGCGTGTGTAAGAATGGGAGACGATGCGCGGCGATCGGCCGCCACAGGGGGCAGGGCATTAATTCCCCCCCCCCCCCCGTGCCCGCCAAGAAGGGCGCCCCGGGGCCGCGGGACGCCAGCAGCCGCCACGCCGAGGGGGGGCTGCACCGCCGGGAGCCGCTCGCGACTTCACCACCCACAGACGGGGGAACATCCCCCTGAGGCCGGAGGGGGCCGGGCCACTGGCGTGTGCTCGCAGCGCATTCCTCCGCGCCCGGTCCCTCTCCCCCGCTTGGGGGCCGAGAATGTCCCTGCCGACCGCGGGGCCCGGACGGGGGGAGGCCGGGGCCGGGGCTAGAGGCGCGAGGCCACCCGCTCCCACTTGCTTCGCGGGCGGATTGTCTCGCAGGGGACGCATGCTGGCGAACAAACACGCACACCCGCACTCTCTGGCACACGCATCCCTGGCGCGGGCGGGGGCGGCATCCTCCCGGATGGGCCCACATCGGGCCCAGCGCCCCCTCTTCCTGCCCGCCAGACAGTGGGGGGTTGGCGGCGCCAAGCGGCCGGGAGATGCTAATGTGCCCCTGCCCCCGGCAGCGGCACCGACCCCCCGCTCCCCCCCCCCCCCCCCCCCCCCCCCCCCGAGCGTCCCGCCACGCCCTCGCCGCTCCCCGAGCGGTGGCACGGATGACGAGGATGTCACCGGGCCGGTCCGAGCCGACCTGGGTTGGTCCGGACCGCGGGCCGGCGCTCGGCCCTGCGGGGACATCCTCCCCCCGCCCCTCCTCGGGCGACCATGTATCGGCCTGGCGCGTGTGATGCAATTCCCGGCGCGGTGCTTCTCGCGCTTGCACGCCAAAGCCCCAGCGCCCCCCAGCCCGGGCGGGTGGCCTCCCGGCGGCCCGCAATACACAAACACAAACACATCCCAGACACACACACACACACACACCCACCCACCCAGGCGCACACCTACACCCGCCCGGGTAGACATGCCCGCCCCGCCCCGCAGCCGGCCTCCGGCAAGTATGCGTTCCGCCCCCTGTCCGGCCCCCCTGGCCGCGCGAGTCTCCGTGTCCAGGGGCGCATTGCCCCCTCCCCCCTCCATGCTGAGGGTGAGGGAAAGAGGCCAGAGGAGCCCCAAGCCCCCAGCTGTGGCCCCCAGCACCCAAGGAGCTAGCGCCCGGGGAGGGGGGGAGGGCGGCTGGTCGCGCCCCTGAGGAGCGGTGCCGGCGCTCTTTCTCTTTCTCTCTCTCTCTCTCTCTCTCTCTCTCTCTCTCTCTCGCTCGCTGAAGAGCGGCCCCCTCTAGTTGCACGTGTCGCCAGGCCCAACACAAAGAACTCTCTCCCCCACCACCCTCCTCCCATCCTTCCCATCTCTCCCTTACCCATCCAGTGTCCGCGCCCTCATCGCCCCCCCTCCCCCCGTCCACCCTTCCCCCCCCCCCGTCCACCCCTCTCGTCTCTGGCCCACTGTTCGTGTGCTGCCCGTTTCGCCCTCTCCTCCGCTCCCCCTCGCGGCCAATCGCCCCCTGACACCCTTCTCGCCCTCTTTTCCGCGGTCCCCCTCCCCTGCGCGCGCGCGCGCGCACACACACGCACATACAGTGGAGTCTGTTCTATCACCATGTCCGGCCCCACCAACGCCTCTCAGCCGACCGCCGTCGGCGCGGCTGAGGACAACAACCTCCAGTCGCTTAAGGACTACCTCTCGATGCACCAGCTTGAGCCCCTGCTGAACGTGCGCCCCGGGCCCTGCCTCCTGCCCACTTTGCCGCTGCCTGCCACTGGCCCCCGCCCCCCCCCCCGGGTCCTCGCCGCTGCTTTCCCCTAACTGCTTTGAGCTGCCTCTGCATGTCACTCCGGCGCGCAGCACCTCATGACCGTGGTCCTGTTCCACCGTCCGGAGGACCCGCTGCTCTTCATGAGCCATGCCCTCAAGGAGGCCTACGATGTCCTGGCTGCTTCCGGCAAGAAGACCCTTGAGCCGGCTGCCGCGGTACGCACGCACGCACGCGCGCGCTTTCTCGTCTTTCTCTCTCCCCCCCAATGCGCACTTGTGCTTCGCCATGCCCTTTGTCGCCCCTTCCCCCCCCCCTCTCCCCGGGCCATGTCTCATCCCTCCCCACCCCCCGCCCCTCATCCAGGCCGCCCTCTTCAACGAGTCCATCTCTCGCTACATGAACAAGTCTGCCA